TAAGGAGAGGCCTATGTCAGGCAGTGGACTATTAAGCGCTGTTGATATGATGTGGGGTAATATCAACAGTATTATAGATAGAATTCAGTCCTTACATTTTGCATACTTACTTACCTCCAGCGCCTGGTCTAAGATAGATTCATCAACAACCTTTAACATTCCACTGCTGGACATAGGCCTCTCCTTGGAAAGGTTTTCGCCTATTACACCACGCTGGTCAGACGGATTGGTGTAGGGTTTGTTCCAAGTTAACCTTTTCTTTTCAGTGCTGTTATCCTGCAGAGTATGCTCTTTAGACACCCTGTATTCTTAACCCGTCACCACATGGAACGGGATGAGATAGATTATACAACTCATGCAATATCACGCTGATATTGATAAACGTTTACTGATAATATCAATAAATGGGACAAAATGTATAATGTGCTGTATATTTTAATGCGGGAAATTCCGAAGTGTCCAGCTAATAGATAGCAGAAGGCACGTTCTATGGTCACGTGTCTAAAACACCAATTAAGTCTCATTATAATATCTTATTTAGAATAACAATCACGTTTATGAGATAAATGGTATATATATTTAATATGTAGATCTGTAGTCAGACATGTATGTAGTCTAAGAGAAAACTGAAGCCCTTGTCGTATTTATATTGATTGTTGGCGCCAATTTATAACTTCACTGTCCTGTAGTAACCATAATGACATTATTTTTATTAATAACTAGCTTCGCTGTGGTACATCGTGGTTACGTTAATGAGGAACAAACTAACGCCAAAACGGACGGATCCAACGTCATATGTCACTGTGTCCCAGGTTAACCGTTGCCTTCATCGAATTCTTGGCATGTACTGGCCCGAGAACATCTCCAACCAACAATTGTTGGAACGCTGCCAGGAAACCTTGACCGACCGACCATTAAACGCCGAAAATGGGGCTGTATTGGCTATACTCTCCGAAGGGACTCTGATCACATCACCAAGTAGACTCTGGACTGGAACCGCCAGGGAAAGCGTCCAAAGTCCAAGGCAAACTTGGCAACGAACAGTCGCAGATGAGGCGACATAGAGCGAAATGAAGCGCGAGGCTCAGAACCGATCGTGATGGAGACTTGCTGTGGACGCCCGCTCCAAGGGACGTAGGACGTTAAACCTGAGAGAGACACCCAAGGTTCTGACATTGGGTTGGCGGGTGTACCTAATTTTAAAATATATTTTCAGGAGAGGTACGTACAAGTACACACAGTGGCGGCCTTAGGCCCGGGAACTCTGACGCGGGTCCAGCCCCGGTAGCGTACGAATGCTATGAACGCGCTGGGTTCTTAGAAACGTCTCTGTCAGCAGACAGTGCGTCGTCGTCGTCGTCAGAGAACCTCGGGCCTTGCAGAGCCTCTGGCGAGTATATCATTGCGAAGCCCCGAGAAAGTACGCCAGCGCCCTTGTCTTTATGGAATTAGTTTTAATGATGATATTCGAAACAAAGAATTATTGATGAATCATAAAAAACATGAGCCGATGACAGTCGGATACTAAAAGCCTGCCAAAATGACAGGCGAAATAAAACACGAGAAATTTCCGTGGTTACACGAGTGCGCGAGGCCCCTGTATGAGCGAGGTTATAATGCTCGCCACCCCCAAAGGCCGCCCCTGAGTACACAGACGGTACTAAATAACTACAATAAATTTAGCCCAATCTAAGAAATATACCCACAATCGTGACACACTAGTGGCTCTCAGTCCAACATTATGGGCACGTCCTTCGCAAAGACAATATTAGTCTTCCTCCGAGCCTTTTTCCCAAACTAGGTTGAGGCCGGCTTCAAGTTTACTATAACACGGCTGCACTTCGATTTTTCCTAAGCAGAGCGCCTGCCATCAAACCTCCACAACCCAAGTAGGCAATAGAAAGACTACTGTGGGACTGTCTAGGGTTCTAATTACTAGTAATGATTGCCACAGATGTCCGTATGGCAATCAGGAAGGACGGCTTAACGTCCTCTCCGAGGCACGATCGCAAAGACAATATTTACAAAAAATATTTTATTATTCCTCAATCTATAAAATATAAAATTGACAGCAGTTTTAACAATCGGTAACTAGATAATTGCACGTAGATCACACTTAACCTATAACTTAGCATTTACATTGTACATTTTATTTTGTGACTGTACTTTAAATAATACGGCTATAAATAATTACTTTATGTTATGTTTACCTGTAACTTTCTGTATATAAACTACACAACAGAAGTATAATAACAAAAAAGAAATACCCATCTAGTACACTTCTGTAAGAATTAATTTTAATTATAAATATAAACGAATGGTAAAGGATGTAGTGTCTCTTACTGTCTTACGCTATTATAAATAAAGCAGAGAGGAACAAAGTATAGAACATTCTATAAATATAAATTAGAGACCTAGTTTTTAGAATAAGTAAATTGAAATTGTAATGAAACAGATCCGTGTTCCAGGATCTGACAGAAAAAATAGGATTTTCAGCTGACCGGAGTTAACAGTCCTCTCACTTCATTAAAAATAACTTTTTGAAACAAACACAAATACCTAATATAAAAATTAAGACTATGAAAATTTTTATTCAACGCGAAAAATCTGTAAACCTTACAAGTATAACGGAATAGGCAGTTGTTTAATATTATACATGAACAGTATAAAATCTCTGGAATTGACGGACCTGGTGATTCCAAGAGAAAGTAATAATTAATGTCTACAAATACATACTATGAAAATTCTGAAATGAAAGACCGAAGACTGTACTCGAAGCACCGCGCGCCGGTGAGAGAAGTCAATGGTTAGGAGTCTTGGCTATCGGGAAATTGGCTCAGCTCTCACACACACATTTGTTTGTCTGACACACGGGAACACAGATTCCGGAAATCGATATAAGATTTAAATTTCAGAATGTTTATTCTATTGAAGAACTGAATAAAAAGTATTCAGTAGAATTAAGAACTCAATTTATTTATGGTATAGAGGGACAGACTGGTCACCCGATGGATTTGGTCAACCTCAGGTAACTTCGGTGAAAAGTAACCAATGTATTGCTAAACACTCATTCTATATTCCCCCTAAATTTGTAGGATTATAGGTATTTGTTCCACATAATATCTCATCAAAAGTAAAGCATTTATTACATAGCCAATGACATTAGCCACAAGAAGAAGCACACCAGAACAAGAGACAAAAAGTCACGATAAGATACTTAAGAAGAAGGACTAACCACGAATATGAAAAGAAAAGAAAGAAGTTAAAGATTTCCTAACATTGCAGAAAATCAGAAAGCAAAACTAATAACAAACTGATGTAGTGTAGGTGTGTACAATTATAGCACATTTGGAGTGCCACTTCAATACTGTTTAAATTATTTGCATACTCGGAATGTTTATAAAAACTTCTTAAAAAAGTCATAATGTATAATATAATTAATGAAACACAACATAATTAGACATTATAATCGTTGAAGTTATTCGTTGTAGCGAGTTCGAACATGGTATATTTTTCTATCCATTCATCGACTACGACAATTGTTTTGATACTACATATAAATTGGTATTGATATTTCTAATGTAAAAATACGTTTTATGCCCGTGTGTATTCCGGGGGTTCCCAGTTACGGACAGTCCTCAAAACGGGGAATCTCCGAAATACACACGAGAGTAAATATGTATTGTATCCTTTATGAATATGGACGCGACTCAAGAAGTTCTTAAGTTCTTTTATATAGAATAGTATAATTATAATACAACAGTTTATTAATAAATAGTTAATACAGTGTAACAACGTAAATATTTTTTATTTTCGTTTCCTGGTACTGTATATTTCTTAGTTTCGAAAATAATTTAAAATTGTTCAAAGTGGGTGTGTATTTTTACTCTGGATTTTATACTTTCTGTCATTAGCATTATTTATCAACAGTATGTATTATTCATATCTGAGAAAGATTGTCTTTTATTTTAAAATCATATTAGTATACATTGTAACGATAAGTAATGACTACGGAAAATTATCAACAGCCTTCACATACTTAACATTTTACTATATTCAGCAACAACGCTGGTAAATACAATTTATTTATGCAAAATACTTAATTATATTTATTAAATATAAAACTAGTTTGGTCTCAAGATTTGTTTGTTAAATCGTTGATTAACTATTTTTAGAGTTTAGTAATAATAATTGGTCACAAGTCACAATATAATGCATTTTTAGGATTTCATCATTTATTAAGACACATGTGAAAATGGGACAAGTTACGAATAATTATTCATTATTTTAATAGTTCTGGAGGTGTTTGCCATAATATACTTTTTATTTTTTACCTGTCCGGTCATTTGAATTAATGGCCAGCACCTTTAAGACTAAAATTTCTATTGTACGGAATAATATGTACAAATACAAAAATTTAAATTAAATTCAAAGGAATGTATTACCTATTAGTCGTTGTAACAGCTAACATCTTACCAACCATGTGACAGCACCTCGCGCGCTCATTGGTCAAATCAAAAAGCGCGCGCTTCCCGGGCTTCTCGTTACACATTGCCGTCCCTTTTCACAATATGTCTTCTACAGATCGTAGGAAAGCGATAGAAAAGATGTTACACATCAAAAAATTAAAACATAAATTTCACTTTTTGAAAATATAAAGGGAATCAAATTCGACAGTAACCATTACATACAGTCTTGGACATTGTTATACATTACGGAGGGCCTAGTGTAAGTGTATTTCATATTGACTCGATCGTCACGGTGAGCGCGTTCGGGGTTGTTATTGGTAAATAGTTTAGTTCGGGCAAATCACAACGCCGAACGCGTGACGATGAGTAGAAATGAAATAAACTGACAAAAGGATTTCTGAACATACATAGTCGTAATTCATTTTTAATTTTGAACATATTTTGTACAGTTTTAAAATGTATATTCTTAATAATGATAAAAAATCCCTTGTGCCATTTTTTCCATGTTATGTTCTGGTGTAAATTTCAGGGTCATCGCGGAAGTCCAACTCGTGGCAGAATGTTTGTTGGGGCAGGATCCTCCCACTGCGTTGGTAAGACGCTGTATTTCTTGGGCTTCAGCACGAAGTGGAACTGAAATGATAAATATTAATAACAATAAGAACTTGACATATCATACACAACTATTTGATCACAAAAGATGTAGAGCCTGTACTACAGTCCGTGTTTTGACGGATTGTCACTACCCCAATTCATCTCGTAGGTGTCGTAACAGCCGACTAAGGACGCAAAACAACGCAGGACACCAGCACTGCAAAAAGAAGGAAAACTTGACACAAACCCTATACTAACCCGTCTGGCCCGGCGTGGAATAGTAGGCCAAAACCTTCTTTCTAAGGAGAGGCCTATGTCCTATGTATGTAAGGCTGTTGTTGATGATGCTGTACTACGGTAACTAGACTGCTTCGTAACTACACTTTTTCTCGAAACGAACTGAAAATCTAAGTAGTATTAACCACTACAAAACTAATGCTTTATAAACTGATTACTTGGTGTAACAGTCATTTGTTTACATGGTTTAATTAGGTAAATAAAGTGTGGGACTTAAGTTAAATAATATTGTAACCCATCTTCCTTAATACCGTTTTATCCACATTATTTCTCATTTCCTTACTCCTAGGCGCCGCGTAATGTTCTCATAAAATAAATTATTTACACATTTTCCTCTGATCCCTGAATCAACTGAACTTATGTTATTTTGAATATAATAAACAACTCTCTAAAAGAGTATCCCCGACTTCCGTAATAAGTTGCATTCTTTACCCCCTTTTTTTTCCCCGTGCGGAATTCCCCTCGGATACCACCGATATCGGTGGCATGTCGGACTCGAACCGACTAAAACCGCACGCCGTCTCGTGTACTAATAGCCGGGGAACCAGGTATACCCTAGAAATGTATTCTTTACCCCTAAACTTTTTTCAGTCAGATGTGAGTTATTTTCATAAAAAAATACGACCCACATTGAAGCATACCAAATCTATTGAAAAAAGAATGATAAAACTCGGTTTAGAACTGATAAAAATCTAATTCCAAACTAGGCAGAGCCTGTACCATGTAATCAGTCTGCTGATTTCACATATTTACATATTTCTGAATAAACTCCTTTATTTACATATTTTTTTAATAAATACCTCGGCTATTTATAAATAATTTACAACTAGAAACAGAACAAATGATCGTGTTCATCTATATAATCATTATAAATGCGAAAGTGTCTGTCTGTCTGTTACCTCTTCACGTTTAAACCTCTGAACCGACTTAGATGAGATTTGGTAGAGATAATTTGAGATCCGGGACCTTTCCCGGACATGACCTTTTATAGGATAGTCTCTGTCGTAGAAATCATCCTTTAAGGGGTTGAAAAGGAGGGTGGAAGTTTGTATGGGGAAGCAATAACCACTGAAACGATTTAGAAGAAATTTGGTATCTAAATATGTAGTTTGATTCTTGAGGAAGGACATAGGTTACTTTTTACGGCGATAACCGACAGATACGCGGGCGGAGACGCGTGGAAAAGCTAGTACACAATAAAACATTATTTAGTCAAATTGAGAACCTCCTATTTTTTTTCAGTCGATCAAAAACTAGTCCTTACCACAAGTAAGGCATATGTTGCTCCTATAGCAAATCCAACGGCCACATCTCCCCAGTGGTGCATGTGATCTACCACCCTAGACAGCCCGACGTACCAAGCGGCTAATATCACGACAAACTGCATCCCATGGCGGAGTAATTTCGACCCGCGCCACTTCCCCTTCACTTGTATATAGAGCTGAAATTAGGAGAACATATTTTAAAATCGATAGATCAAATTATTTTATTGTTAAATGATTGAGGTTTCCGGAGACTCAGACCTCCCATCCTCAAATTCCTGGTTTAAGAAGACCTGAAGGGCTTGTGACTCTTAAATTCCAGGTAGCTATAGGGGGCGGTAATCACTTTCCGTGACGTGTCTGCTCGTTTGACCGACCATATAAGAATGTATCCAAAAGAATTTGGGTTGGTTGAACCTTGGTTACTTGGGTCTGGTTCTGCCCAGTCCCTGAAAGAACTTACAGTTTTCAGTATATGTATACAAAACTAAGTAGTTTAAAATTAAAAATGGCACGTGAATAAAATAATCCATATAAGTAGGATTAGATCAATTTCTTTGAACAAAGAAAGTAGGCCTTTCGGAATCGTCTGGGAGTTGTTAAACACTTAAGTTATTTTTCAAGGATTGTAATTTTACATAACGTTCTGTCAAATTTTTATTTATTTATATAACTTAATGCAAGTGTGCTTACTATGAAAGTACCTCTTATGACAGTTGCGAGATCGAAAGTTGATCGGAAATGAATTGAAACCGAACTTTTATTAAGAAAATTAGCCTTCAGGGCACTCTCTTCCAGTTAACCTTTGGGTGGTGTATTAATCATTGTCTTTTTAACACGTGTCTTTTTATAAGCTTGGTATGTATGGATGTATGTATGTAACGGACTGTAATCTACGAACGTGATTTTGACCCCCTTCCAAACGTCGAATAAAATTGAAACTGGGATAGAAAAAGCGTGGGGTGCATTCCAAGGTGTTTTATAATATAATATGCTATGTCGGACTCGAACCGACCAAAAACAGCACGCCGTCTCAAACGAGACGGCGTGGTGTACCCTTGAAAGGAAATCCCTGGTACCCCGACGTACCTCGGGTCATCTACGGCGGGAAGATGACCCCCTCCTGTGTGGGAACCCCCATGTTCTCTTTGTGCTCCCGAAAGGGCGCGCGCGCTCCGCAGCGCGTCTCGCCGCAACCTTCTCCCCCTAATTTTGGGGGAGCACTCAAAGAGTAGCAAAAATCTTGTGTCTCTTGAGTTGCAGGGTGACCTGTCTACTTGTTTTCTCTATACGATAAAAATACTACTTACAACAAAGAAAACTGCACAATACATAGAGAAGCTGGCATGAGAGCTAGGGAATGAAAGTCTCATGTCCCTGAGCAGCGCCGGATTATCTAAGTTGTTCGTGCATTGGTACTGCTGGATGTACAACTGTTCATTATCCAGCGGAAGCGGTGCACATACCTGGAAACACAAGCAAAGACAATAAGGTTCCTAGACGTTCATAAAACAGACAAAAAAACTGTTTTGCACCATTTGCAATGGTGTTTTGCGTCAGTGTGAACCAATTTTGTCGGAATAATGAATGAAACTTTCGGGTTGAAAACGTGGAAGAGAAAAAATGAACTTGTAATATGACGATCATTGTCAAATTTGTTTATGACAAATTAGCGGAGGAGGATATTTATGTATACCATCAACTAGGGTTGGTCATTTATGTACCATAACTCAAGATGTCTGTTTAGTCAGAATCAGTACTTACGGATAAATTAATTGAAACTTACTGAAAAGAAATGCGGCCTCAGTCTTCCAATGACAGGTTTAGCAAGGTCTGACGTCAGCTGCTGACAGGCGGCCCCGAATACAAATACCCCAATAGTATTGTAACTCTCCCAAATCCAACCCGCAACTAGGGTGCTCCCGAGGAATTTCTCACCTGCAGTTTTACCTTGTTTATCCCGAACAATTTCTACTACGAGTATCTGAAAAAATTAAAGAATTAAGTGACTAAATTTTAAATTAGGTAATTGGTGTTCATAGAACTACACAATAAAATTGAAAACACCGAAACCTCTGACAACAGAAACCTCTGAGACCAGAGACAAATATCTTTTTCTTAAGAACATTGCATTTTCAAGGTAAAAGTAGCCTCTGTTACTTCCAAGTCTATTAAACTGAACCCTAGTTTCTATTTAATGCGATTTTTATTAGGTCCATTCTGGTCTCATCATAGGCCTAACACGATCTACAAAAGGTCATTTATGTGGATACTCGGCACTTACGAATATGGCTAGTATGTCCAATTCGAGAGCGGCAACCTTGGCCACAGTGTGGACAGACGTGTTGCTGACCAGCGTGTTCTGGTCTAAAACAATCATAAAGCTTTCACCCCTAAACTGCTACATTAGAAAAATCACGTTAGGGAGTTCATCCAGATGCGGTTAACCCAACCAATACATACCGATATAACCGATACCATATCGAGCGATATGATATGTGCTGACTGAATACGGATACAAACGAAAAAAACAACTACTAGAAGTACTTCTACTACTATTGAGAACCAGCTTTATTTCCTGTGGCTTTGCTCGCGTGAAGACCCACGAAACAGTGTTCTTGCTTCATTACATTTTCTGCACTACCAACAGAATGTGCGAAAAATTTAATGATAATCTGTTAAGTAGCTCACGGTTAACAAAAAACAAGTTATTATATTTCTAAATAGAAAGAGGAGATCTCATTAAACATAATCAAATGATCATTATCCACATCTACACGCTCCTAGTTTTTCACCAAATAACTTTATTACAACCTGTTTACCTTGATAATCCCATTCAAACTCACATTGTAAACTACTTATAGGTCGTCTACACCTCTTGATAAGAAATCTAGAACAAAACTTGCGGTTATGAACTCATAAAACCTATATCTTTGTTTAACGTCTGTTACTACATGTTGTTAGAACGAGCTGTACAAAAACAGCCTGCGACCACGGTCAGTGCAACCTTGTCGGAACGTCAAGTAGTTCAAACCTTTGTATTGCCTATTGATTGCGTCAATCAAGTTAATAATATTGAATGAAATTTTACCCTCTTTGATTTGTTTTATTTCAAATGTAAACAGATAGCTTCTCCTCGACAGTGGCAGGTTTAAAGTTGCACCAATCGTAGATAAAATTACCGAAAACCGCATTCGCTGGAGGGAGAGGCCGCCCGCCGTTGACCTGGTGGAGCACCACTGAGAGAGGCCTCAAGAAAGCCCAGTTGCACGAAGCGACAACCATAGATCGTTGGATTTGTCGCGGACCCAGCCTCAAATGATGGGATAAGGAAAGGAAGAAAAGGAAGGGAAAGGTACACAGACAGACAATGGTATGTGGAAGGGAAGAATGAGAATCACGGAAGAAAATATATTTCAAAAGCTTAGAATTCATAGAAATTCTTTCTATAAGACACAACGTTATATTTTTAATTATCATAAACAGATTTAGAATGCATTCTAGCGGGAAAATATAAATATTAAAGAACATTGTGCGAACATTGGCGTGACCACTATGTTATTTCAAATCGTTAGTATATTAACAGGAGTAGTACTCTTTAAATCTTTACATATTTTTTCAATAAGCCTTGGAAATTGAACATTTATAATTTTAATGCAACTTCAGGTGCAATCAACTAAGAAAGGAAGGCTATATGGATAACCGAGTTATTAAATTGTAAATTTTTGCCAATCTTGCTTATCTAAATATGTAACTAATCAATACTTTTTTACTATAAATCGGAGCCAAGACCATTGCAGTAAATGGTGGGATCGGCTGGTGCTGGCGGGTCTTGATAGATTCCCTTTCTAGGATATACCAGAACACTGTTTGGTTTTAGTCATAACACTTTGTCAGTAAGCCCGATGAGGCGATAAACTGTGGGGGTTTCCACACGGAAGAAAAAGGTGCATATAATTATATACCTAAACAGTAAACTCCTATCCCTGTGGGGACGGACTAAGAATACGGAGTGTCACCCTTATTTATCCCGTTTGTGTCGCAAGAGCCGACTAAGGCAACAAAGTACTCAGGACAACAGCACTGCAAAGAGAAGAAAAACTTGACGCAAACCAATTCGTCTGGCCCGCGTTTTATAGTAGGCCAAAACCTCCTTTCTAAGTAGAGGCCTATGTCCAGCATGGGACTCTTAAAGGCTGTTGATGAAAGTGCCGGCGTCGCCCAAAGGAATGTACCTAATAACATCACTTACCGTGGCAATCATGAAGGCGAAGCCAACCCCAGCCAGCACTCCTATGGATACTTGTTGTTCTTTATACGGCAGCCGGAGAGACAGATCATCTACGAAGTATCCTCGTTCGTACGGCTCTATCCATAGCAACAACGCCAGGAGGGGAAACGCCACTGTAACAACACAAGAGAACATTTTTTTAAGCTAACAAAGCTGAATAGCTTGTTTTTAAACAAGCATTTTTATTTTTATGATTTTAGGTTTTAGGAAAAAACATATTTCGTCAACACTTTGTTATTGCAAATCTTGCAAGTCTATCAGACGCTTAACACCACCTAAGTCTAGTACTAGTTAAAATAAATACAACTGTCTAATGATGATCAAAATCAGTATAAAATTTAGTTGAAAGTTCTGACCCACGCCAACAAGGCCAGTTGAACGAAAGTTAAAAAAAAATCAACTATAATTTTATTATTTTGTTTGTTAAGAACTAAAATCATTCAATCCCCACTAAGTTGTTTTAAGTTTTATTGATCTCCAAGTCGACCTTGTCGAAAACAAACAACATAAAAAAAAACATTTTTCCTGTACGATTTGCCCGTAATTCACGGTGACCAAGATTAGATAATGTATCTTGTATCATAAAACAAATAATCTAATTTTCCTATATAATTTTAGATCTACTTCAAATTTTTCTTATAATAATGAGAGTATCGTCAGTCGATGTCCACGTCTCTTACCCTTTTTTTCTCTTTCTTTTTCCGTGCGGAAATCCCCTCGGATACCACCTATCGGTGGCATGTCGGACTCGAACCGACTAAAACCGCACGCCGTCTCGGGTACTAATAGCCGGGAAACCAGGTACCTCTCTTACCCTGACCTCTTCGAGATACTAAGTATCTCGATATCTCTTTCCCTAGCTCACATACGTCAGCCGTTTTCCTTGCCTTAATTTACCTTTTTTCCTATGTGCCGCTTTAGCTTAGAAAATCAAGATCGCAATTGATCTCAATGAGCATGAGCATGATCTTGCTATTGTATTTTCGTTATGAAATATAAAAGGTCAAAGCTATGGTTTTGTAGGACATTGTTATTGTACTTATAAATTAAATTAAATTTATTGTACTTAAAAAAACATCATTAAACAAGTCATCAAAAACAAACTGAAGTGAAAAAATATATATATAGTATAGGACTTGATTGAAGAACCCATCGGAATTTAATTTTTAATTTAATAATTTTAGTTGATAGATTAGTATAATATCTAAGATTCCACTTATCAACGATGTTATCAGAAATATTTGGCGAACGTATGCGAACGGAATGTAAGTAGGAAGTAACATGATAATATTAATTAACATCATATTTATTAAAGTTTATTTTTATCGTCGTTCTTTTATCGTAAACAACTTTAAAAATATATTGAACTAGATTTTGTCGGCGGCTCCCCCCGTGTATATGTCGGTTATCGAGATAAAAAGTAGCCTATGTAACTTGCTCAAAATGTAGCTATCCATTAGTGAAAGAGTTTTTAAAATTGGTTTATTGATTTCACATCAACAACCTTTACTAGTCCACTGCTGGACATAGGCCTCTCCTTAGAATGGAGGTTTTGGCTTACTATGACACGACGGGTTGATATAGCGTTTGTGTCAAGTTTTCCGTCTTTTTGCAGTCCAGTTGTCTTGAGTTGTTTTGCCGCTTAGTCGGTTTTTACGACACCCACGGGATGAATAGGGGTAGTGACATTCCGTATTCTTAATCCATCACTACACGATGGTTTAGGCGTAAAAAACGAACGAACTCAATTTCACATTTATTATATAAGTATGGAAGTATGGATAGCAGCAAAAACTCTTAAGGTTATTAATACATCACACCAACAGCTTTGAATAATCCACTGCTTAATATAGGCCTCTTCTAAGAAAGGAGGTTTAATTAATACATACATAATATATATCCCATAATAAAATTTGCCTTGTCAAGTATAATACAATTAATAATAATATTATTTTCGGACATCTGACACACAACGCCATCTAGTTTCAAACTAAGCAGAGCTTGTACTATAAAAGCTAGATTGACTGATAGAATACTTCTTTACTTTTTTTTTGTAAGTACATACACACTATACATAGAAACCACCCAAACTCCGAAACAAATCATACAAAAATTTGGTCCGACCCGGGAATCGAAACCGAGACCTCAGCACAGCAGTCGCATACGCTACCGCTGCTCCACCGAGGCAATTACTCCGATAAGTGTTACGTCACAAAATCCTGTTTGCTATTGATAGGTACTAAATTAATATTAACATGGTTTTAAATAAGTCTAAAGATAAGGTATAAAAGTATGTATCAACAGATTGTAGAACAAGTTACTACACATAATAATGATTTCAAATCAAACACTACGAAGTAACTTTAGTAGATAAGAATCTATTCTTTTACCCTCGTTTAAAGATCTAAGAAGGGTCAACGTAACTGCAAATTATTTTAGCAGTACAACAACGTATTTTTGCAGTGCAAACAAATATGCAAATTATGATTTTTCATTTTGAATCAGTTTGCAAATCAGAACAAATTTAGACTATTCCGAACAAAATTTCATACTCCTTTCCATCAAATGCCATAAGCAGTCCACTGCTGCAGGCCTGTCCTTGGAAAGGGTTTGATCTACTATATCACGCCGGCCAAACGGGTTTGTTTCAAGTTTTCCTTCTCTGCTCTTACAACACCCACGGGGTGAATAGGGGTGATGACACTCGGTATTCTTAATCCGTCCCCACACGGACAATATAGGTGAATAGATAGGGTATACGTGAAAAGATATGAATCATTATATTTCAAATGAGGATAAACATATTAAAATTATCTTTATCCTTTAGTTTATGGAGATATCACTAGAGATATCGATCGATCAACTAATTATTCAGTGATTCCTTGTCGTTATATCAAGTGTTACTTAAAACGTAACGACAAATGTGTCACTTAAATTCTGCGAAAACTGTTACCTTTTAGTATTAACATGCTACGGATGAACTCATGTAGTTATAATGGCAATGCACTTGTGACTCAAGAGTCGTCCTTTGAGTCCACCCCCCCCCCACCCCCCACCATATCGGAAAGGTGGGGGGTTGGGCTCTGGTAGCCTCACTCACTCGGTAAAAACCAACGAAAGAGTGCTTAACATCGGTTTTCTGTGAGGCATCACTCTGATCAAGCTGGACAATTTCTATCAAAGCATGGCTCTATAACTTATGATTTCTGTCATAATATTTTATAAATAAGTTAACAATTGAAGCTACAATGAAGTGTAGATCTTGGGTTTTTGAAAATCTATCACCTAACCTGCCTATTACCTAGACATCAAATTTAGAAGTACTTTTAATTAAATACCTAGATGACTGAAGTGAATTAGACAGTAATTTCAAAGAACCTGAGCTATTGTAAACTATAGATATGATAGATAAATTACAGACATGACAGTGAAATTAATAACTAAACTATTTGTTCTAGATAGGCATCGATCCACGTCTTCTCACTTCTGACACACTAATTACTAAACAATCATTGTCTGTTTAACTTTACAAATTTATTTTGTTTGTGTTCATAATATAGGGAAGACTCTGTTTGTGTCCATATTTAATACAGAACCGTTTAACAGTACGGGGTTAATGGAAATAGAATCATCTATCATAGAAAAATTCACACGTAGTAGAACTTTTCATTTTTCCAACGCTCAATATACAAAAAGACAATTGAATCAGTCGTTTTAAATTTAGTATTATTTTAATACAATTTATATATACGTCCTGCTACACCTCGATACTATTCGTCAATAATGTTTGTATACCTAAAGAATTTAGTTAAATATTCTTCTCCTGTCCATATAGCGGACGGACGGACTTTTAAAAAGACATTATAAAATTATTCACATTATAAATTGGTAACCCTCTATTGTATTCAGCACAGTCGTATATAAATATAAATTATAAACATTTTAGACATCACATTATATAATATTGTCCTGGTATTTATAGACACGTACAGAAAACCTCGACTTATTACTAATAACAATTTGTAGTACCTGCAAAATCAATACTTATCGACGCGCACTTATCACCCATCCGTGTTAACTTATCGAGAATACTTGTGATATGATAAATCATATCTTTTAATTTTGTGTTATTCATACATATTGCTAATGTGATATCAGTCAGGTATTCACCAGGTCCATATGGGACTACGTGATAAGATGAAAAAGCTGGACGGAGCAACTGAGCAAAATAAAACGATTCTTTGCTGTGGAAGGATCATGCTTCGTCACAATTGGGCCTCAGCAGAAATGGGCCGTCTCGACCAGAGTTATAAGAATGCCTCACAGTAAACCGGCAATTACCGAGAGAGTGAGGTTCAAGGTGAGGAAAGCGGGGGAGGGGGGCAAACCGAGGCACCGGCTCCGGGCGGTTGTTTCAGGGGGCACCAAAATTATAATATATATATAATACGGTTTAAAATAAAAAAATACAATATATTGTTACCTTGTTAAACAATGCCAACAAAGAGCACATTATAATCCTAGCAGCAATCATGGTTGATTTGATGTCATTTTTTGAAGATTGCCGTTGGTTGTCTCCGAAACTCATCATTAGATCTATATGAAAGTAAATGGGGCCATTTCGGAATAAACCTCTTTTTAACAAAAAAAGGAAGTGAAAATCCGTCATCAACATACATAAAAAAATATCGTATATATCCAATCCCATCCCATTAAAAACATAAATATAATACATGTAGTTAGGAACACAATGTAGTCCATTACTAAGTAAATACACACTTTTGGGATTTAATTGTTACTTATTTCTTAACTTCAAACATTTTACTGATCGCGTCAATCAAAGTAATCATTCATTTGCAATTTTTTTCTTCAATTACACATTTCAAAATGCAACATTGCAAAAGGTATTGATAACGCTTTCTTTGGCAATGTTATCGTTTTTAGACGAGTTAAAATGCAGTATCGAAAACGGTGAGTGATGAAGCCTTTAGTCCATAAAAGATCTCAAAATCTCAGATGGAGAAACAAGATTCAGACTGTAGTATGTCTGTGTTTGGATTAGGCACTTGAAGAGGGCCAACACTGGTTAATAGTGTTCCCCATGAGATACTAG